TCAATGAAGGCAGATATTGTTTCTCGCCAGAGGTGATTCCAATCGGATTCCAGCGGCAATTATTTGTAAGGCTTTAGAGGCGTTACTTTTTTTTTTTTTTTATAAATTAATGGTAAGGTTGGAGCTTTGTAGTTTCGTGTTGTTTATCCTCTTTCAGATATCTAGAGTGGAGAGATCTCGAGAGCATGTATGATGATGACCCGAGAACACTGACATGTCGTCTAAAATGGCTTCTCAGGGACCCAATAATACGGGAACCCCGCTATTCGGATCATCAGGACCCGTTCGATTTGCCCCCGTCTAGGCAAATATGTACTAGTTTATATGGGAAAAAGAGGGAAAAATGCACCCGCTTAATTGTCCGAGAGCAAGTGTGTGACAAGCTGTACTTGATGTGGTGGCAATGGTGAAGAGAAAGAGAGAGTGCCGTTCGAGTACATACATTAATTAAGTTAGTTGGAATCCAAGAGTATCAGCTGGGTTTTTTTTTTCTGTTCAGTAAACAAGAACTGTGGTTTTACGGTTCGGCTCCCCCGCCTGAATGCCTACCTGCCTACAATGCCTGCTTGTCTGGACGCGGTACATACAGGCAGGCTCGACTTAAGCTTAATCAAACTTAGGTGGATGATCTGCTTGCGCACATGGCCGGGTCGAGGATTAGAATAGAGAGAAATGAGAAATTAAAGGGAAAATGGTTGGAGAAACTCTAATACGGTGGTACCTGAAGATTCTTTCACAATTCCTATCTGTCGAGTTTGTCCAGCTGGGTTGGTCCTAGCTAGTTTGGGGGTTTGGTTGGAGACCGCGTTTTTCCTTTTTTCGTGACCCCTGCATTGATGGTTGTGTAACGCTACACTTATCTTGAGAAGAGTACCTAGCTAGTAGAAAGCAAAAATAGAAGCCCATCCCTCAATTTCGGATCGTGGTTTTTCCCTCCTCCGCGAAATGCTTAGCAGCAGCAGACAGCCGAGAAACACGACCAACTAGAGCTTCTTGGTATTCTTGGGCATTTTGCCCGTTTCGAGGAGCCCTGTGGTCTATTTGAAACTGCCGTATTTAGATATCTACAATTGGGAGTAGAGTTGGTTAGAGCAGGTGTAATAAGTACTATGTAGGTAAGTAAGCTGTGTGTAAGTACGTTAATAATTTCAAGGGTATATACAATCGTCCGATGTTAATATAGTTGACTGATTTGTACCTTCTGGAAGGAGAGATATCCGGCCCTCTGCCCAGAGAAATAGATAGAGTTCAGCCGTTTGGAATGCATGTAACAGTAGCTAGAGTAACAATTCGTAGCAACTCTCCTACTCCCAAGACCAGTTGCTGTGCCGTTTCGAGAACCTGTGAATATCGAATCTGGCAATGGAACCTCACAAATGAGGGATGACAATTGTGGTTCACCCACACCTCCAACACCCACACCGTACACATCTGGAATACCTTGTTACCGATTTGGTCCGGGGAGGCAGGAGGGGGAAGAAGATCTCGAACACACTCTCACTAAGTTAGAGTAGCTAGGTAGGGGTAATGTGATGTTATGCCAGCCAGCCCACGATCCAGCCGTTGTGATTTGACGTTCACATCCGAGTGTTGTACCAGCTAGCCTAAGCGAAGAGTCCCTGATTGAGGTGATGTTACTTTTTGAACCACCACAGGCAAAGCAAGCCACTGTGCAAGCTCGTATCGATTGAATGGACCGATGGATGGCCCATGTCCATGTCTTTTCGCGTAAGGTACCGCCTTACCTCCTTTGTTTGTATGTAGGTGCCTTTTTTGATTATTTTCTTCTTCTTATCCTTCTCCCTCTGAGACGGCCAGGCCGCGGGGAGGAGGACGACGAGTATAACTACCATGGGCCCACGCCCGACATAATTTTCTTTCTCTACCAGCCAGCTTTCGACTCTTTGAGAAGCCAGTACAGTTAATTCGACTTTCTTTTATTTGCTACTGCTACTACTACTGCTAGCTAGCACACATTCTTTGCAAGTGATCGTCCTGTCGATATACACTAGCATTTACGCTACTTAATTCCTGAAACTTAATACAAACAACTATACTCGATAAAATATAATTCGTCTTTTTGATCTAATAGATATTAAAATATTGTAGGTACCACACACACATTTTTAAGACCTCAAACATATTATATGCCTCTTTCTTTATGATATCAGTTTGGTTTTTGAGTACATATATCTGATATATCCCATTCCTTGGAGGGGCAATAGATCAACCATGCCTTCCATGTTCTCCAAAAAGTATAGCGGCCTCGCCCTTCTCCAGCTTCTCTCAGCGGCCACCGTCGCCTTGGGCCATCCCGGAGGCGTCCCCCGCCTCATGGGCCGTAACGGTTATATAGACATCCGTGATCTCCCCGACCTTACCGGGAGAGATAATAACCTTGTCAAGCGTGTCGTCTCCCCCGACGGTACCTGCGGTGGTACTAAGGCCTACACCTGCGGGACCACCGTGAACAAGTGCTGTTCCCAATACGGTTCGTGATCAACTCTTCACTTGAATCTCCGACTTGTAAAAGTTGTTGCTAACAAGCAATTACAGGCTACTGTGGTGACTCCGATCTCCACTGTCAAAGCTCCGAAAACTGCCAGGCGGCGTTTGGGATTTGCACAACTACCCCAGCGACTGGAGGTTCAGGCCGCTGTGGAACTCAGGGCAGCGGAGCGAGCTGTGCGGCGGGACAGTGCTGCAGTGAGGGTGGATACTGTGGTACCACGGCGGATTACTGTATGGCACCGCTGTGCCAAGTTGGGTTTGGAAAGTGTGATGCTGAGTATGTATTATCCTGGGTTTTGGGATATCTGGAATTGATACTGATATTAAGCAAATAGTACTATCCCTGCCGGAGCGAGCACTTCAACTGTTGCCCGTCCCAAAGTCGGCAATGTTCTCTACGGTGCAGGTCAGTAATTAATAAATTATTTTTCGAATATTCAATTGAGGTCATATACTGATATTTATTTCTACTCCAGAGGGTATTTACGCCTGTAACACTGTCGGCGAGGTCGCACTTACCTACGACGATGGCCCTGACCAGTACACCAGTAACATGCTCGACCTCCTTGCCTCCTATGGCGCCAAAGCCACTTTCTTCATCACCGGTATTAATAACGGAAAGGGTGCCATCGACACGACACCTGCCTGGAAAACCGTGATCCAGAAGATGTACGCCGCTGGGCACCAGCTTGCCAGTCACACCTGGTCACACGCAGATCTGAGTGCTATTTCAGAGACAAGGAGGAGAGATGAAATGGTGAGTTTGTTGCTATCATTAGTTCTATATGTTCAATTTGGATTTGAGTCCTAATATATATATACACACGATAGATCCGTCTTGAGATGGCCATGCGCAACATTGTCGGATTCTTCCCAACCTACATGCGCCCTCCTTATAGTTCATGCACCGCCGCCTGCCAGGCTACCATGGCAGATTTGGGATACCACATCATCTATTTTGACCTCGATACTGATGATTACAACAATGTCACTCCCGCGCTCATCAACAACGCCGTCAACAACTTCAACAACGCTGTCAACCCGTCAAACCCAGCGACAAAGAGCTGGTTGGCCATTGCTCACGACATCCACCCATTGACAGCCACGACGTTGACACAGGAGATGTTGAAGACTATCACCGCCAAGGGATACAAGGCCGTTACAGTTGGAAAGTGCTTGGGTGATCCAGAGGCCAACTGGTACAGAGGATCTTCCACGCCCCCAGCATCTTCTACAGTACGTAAACCTTAGCTGTGGTGTTGATCATGAGCGTGTAATACTGACAAAGATAGACAACCACCACCACCACCCCTCCTGCTACCACGATCACTACTTCTACCACTACTTCTGCGCCACCGACGAGCACGGGTACTTGCACATACACTGTTAAAACCTGGTGCGGAGCTGCAATCCCATCATGGACCACCACTGCAAAATGTTGGGATGCTGTTGGCAACTGCTGGTAAGTGAATCCAATTAACATTAGAAATACATAATATATACTTACCATCTTAAATTATAGGAACCAAGGTGATTTGTGCTGGTCAACCACCGACGATGCAAAATGCTCAAATTACCAGAACACCTGCGCGGCCATGGAAAGCTACTGCCAGGCTTGCGCCGATAGCGGAGCTACCAACTGCGCCTACAAGGCTCCTGTCTACCCTACTGCTTAGACTCGTCCTTCTGTTAGCTAGAGGTCCTTAGTAATGTTTGTATGTGTTATTGCGATTGTGGAATACTGTTGTTTATGTTAATTGGGTTTTGAGTTTTAATTATGGATACATTGCGATGTTAATTAAATCGAGTTTTGGTCTCATCACTCCTCCCACTTATGGTGAACCTGTAGCGTGCGATGCAGTAAGTGTAGTGGCGCCACTGAACTTTGTTTTTATCAAGACAAATCTCAAGTTACGGCACGGAATTATCCCGGGGCTGAAAGAACAACTATTGGGTATTAATTTATGAAGTGCGTGGTATTTCAAACCATCCACGTGATATGTACCTACAACGACATGCCAAGAAACTCATCTGAAAGGAGCTGGTGGTTTGTCTTACTTGAGCTTGGTGGAGGGGGATACACAGCAACATATTGTTTTTTCCTCCCCACACACTAGTTGCAAAATACTGCACTTTGATCAATTTCTCGAGCGCCACCTAAAAGCCCCATAATCAAAGCAGAGTAAAAGTTCTTTTCCTCTTCGAATCAAGATCCAAGACTTTACATAACCTAACTCACCGCGAGTTATTAGAAACATAATCCCGAAAAGTAGTAGATACTAGGTTAAACTCACGGCACATTCCTGCTCGGCGTTGAAGTGTATTTCCTCGATGTTCTCCCCGGCGGCTCGTCTTTCTCTCAATCGATCCGCGAGTAATGCCAGCATCCCTCTCTAAATCACATCCCCCGTTATTGGTATCATGCTAACTCTGTTTAAAGAGAAGGAGAAAATCAAAAGCATGTAAACATGTCTCATAAAGGGAGAACATCACGCAGTGTACAGGTTTAACCACTCATCGAAACTCAAACTAAGCATCCTTACCGCATGTACTGCCTCCTGAAGCCCACTCTCTGTCATGACCTGATTTTGGCACCTAATCGAATATTCGTTTTGAATCCGCTTTCTACTTTCATTTAGTCGCCTTCCGGCTTCAGGCTCTTCTTCGTCGTCGTTCAAAGATAATCCTTGGAATTCCCGCTGTGCGCTTTCGTCTGGAGAAAATATCTTGACCGTATAATCAATGCCTGAAACGGCAAGCTTTGGCTCGTAAGGGTGACCAGTTATCACGTTAACGATTTCATCGTCTCCACGAAGGATATTCACTATCTGTGTTGTTTTCCTGTCCCATATAAAAAGATTGCCACAGTCACTTCCACTGACAACGTATTCGTCGTCCATTCCGTAAAAGTTAACATCCTTAACAGTCTTAACGTTGCCTAATATAACCTTTATCAGCACCAAAGATAAAGATATGAATCATAGCTAAAGTGATACTCACAATGCCCACTGTAAAATTTCGTATGTTCCCATACTGGTGCCTGGATTTCGACACCTTCTCTCCCTGAACCTGGACCGTACTCGCCGTCTTCCTCACTATGTTCCTCTTCATCCCCCTCCCCCCCCCCCTCTTCATCTTGATCTTCATCGGCCTCGAGTTCTAGATTAAGGCCTCCGATTTCGTCTTCAGAGTCACCTTCTCCCTCAAACCCTCCAAATGCGGAATCAACGAAGGCAAAGTCAACTCCATCCCCTTCCTGCATCAAGAGAGATCGTCCCACCCTTTGCCCCCAGAACCTCCTTATGGATCTGCCTCTGGTAGTATCCTCATCTGATCCAGCCATAATCTCATCATGTCCTAGGTCGAGGGCGGCTTTGAAAGCCTTGACCATAGCCTTTTCACTGTCAAATATTTCTTCATTTGTGTCGACATCTCTTACTATGTTGTTTCTAGCTTCCCTCTCAAGAGCATCAAGGAAGCGTCCAATGTCTCCTGGATCTGAATCATTCTCCTCATCTTCACTATCTTGGTCCTCCTTGATAAGTTCCTCTACTGCTGTAGATCCACCGTCGAGAAATGAGATGATTATTTGTAAGAACCGATACCGAAAACTAGAATTTTCAGGTCGTTCAGTTCCAACCTGTATAAAGATACCTACTCCCAACCCGATGCCTTCCACAAATCCACCCAAAGCGCGAGCGAGACATCCGGCAGCTTTAACAAACGCTCTAGTTCGGCGTCTGTTCCGTGCACAAGTTCTTCTAAGAGTTCTTTCAGATCCAAAGTCCATATCTGTGCGCCCCTCGTTTTTGTCGAAGAACTCTAGATCTTTTCTTTCAAGGGTTTTAATCTCCCGGTCAATTCTCTTAAGTAATACCTGCGCTGTGCGTAGTGCCTCGTCCCAAGATTTCTTCTTTTCTCTTTCCACTTCTTCCGGCTCCAATGCTGAGTGCACTCCAGAAATAGGAATTTCTGAGGAATTTAGCCCGAATATTTCCTTTCTTAATTCTACCAAGAGCGCAGGAATCCTAATAATCTCATGACCCACGCTCAGATAATCACTATCCTCGCTATCTTCATCACTGGAAGATTCCGCTCTCCTCCTTTTACTTCTTGGCTCTCCACCCCTACATCGTCGATTCCTATCGCACCTTGTGCGGGTACTATTTTCAGATTGATTCCAGGGTTCTCTACCAATCCCCTTTTCATTTGGTGCTGGAGAGCGGTTGATGTCGAATAGGTATATTCCACCACCGCTCCAAGATACAACCACGTCATTTGGATTTGCGTCAGATATTTTACAAGCGGTGATATGAGGACTTGTTCGATACTCTCGGCTTTTTGCTGGGAGAGGTGCAAACCGACGAACACAGCGTGTAGCTGCTGAAAGATCGTTATCAGAGGTTGATGCTCCAGCTCCAGCCTCTTTCCCGAGATCACGTCCGAGCATGCGTCGATCATGAAGGAAACAATGAAGATGAGCCCCACCAAGAGCGATATAGTGGGGTTGGGATGTCGAACAAGAGACCGTATTGAGATCGATCTGGTGACGCTTATAGGAAATAAGAGGTGGGTTTCTGTTATCGTCTTCTTCTGACGAGACCATTGATGATAATGTCACACCAAAATACGTTCTTTGTGCCGAGGAGCGGCTGGGTCTGCTGTAGAAGTCTGATGGCTGCCGTAGATCAAACTGACGAACTGTACCGTCTTCAGAGCAAGTAAGGAATACATGTGGGGAGGACTCAGTCACTATGCGTTTGACTCGGTCTGTGTGAGATCGATAAACCTTGTGATTGAGGTTTTCGTAATGGGAATAGAGCTTTTGAGGAGTCACTTCGGGTGTATGCACCCCCCTACGTCGATAGCCTATGAGGCGGGGATGTGTTTGTCCACTAGACATTCTAGCTGATGAGGATCTGGATGAGTTTGTAGCCGAAGATGTCGGGGCGTATTCAATATCGAAGATTCGAACCTCCCCATCCCCAGCAGCCGAAATGATGGTTCGGTCGTCTGAATGGGGCATAAATTTTACAGAGAATATATTCTCAGTGTGGCCAGTATCTATACGAGTATTCAAAGCAAACTCGGGAGTAGTTGTATGTATGTTGATTTGTGTATCATCACTTCCACTGGCAAGAAGAGCACCATTGCGTGACCAGCTGTAAAATGGTTAGAACTGATATACAACTTTCAGAAGCAAAACCACAAGTAGTGATTTTACCTGACTGCGTTGACACATCCAGTATGGCCTTGGAGCTCGTTCACGATATCGAGGTTTTCAACCCATGCTCGAGAGCCATAGAGGCTATTCACAGAGCTGAAACCCGTGTTTCCATTGAGTTCTCTGTGAAAAAGTTTACGATCCATCGAGCGCGTTTCAAGTTGCTCAATCTCTTCAGAATGAACTTGGCATGCGATGGGATTTCCGAATCGCCGAGTCGCTAAGTTTTGGTTTAAAATGACGCTCACGAAGCCCAGGGTGGAGGAAAAGCTGAGGAGGCGGCGGTGGGGGTGGGGCGCTGAATGACGCAGCAATCAAGGATGAGGAGTAACCCTGCTCGCGCGTTCGTTAAGTCCTAGCTCGGATAGTTGCATGTGCATATGTTGCACCAACATGTACAGCAATAGACTTCATTCTCCGGGTCTCATTACATAGGATACGTATATACACGATATCGATAGTCGGGTCCAGTAAAGTAATGCCCTAATGAAGTTTGTTAAGTTGTACATGCGTAGTAGACATAAAACTCCAAACATTGCCTCATTATCATTCTGCTGGCTTATTAGTTCGTATGCATGCGAGGATAAGTATAATGGCTTCATTTAATTCCCCCAAGCTAGGCTTGGGAATAATGTGGCGTGATGAAACGTCAGTTAAAATAATAACACGAACCCTTAATTGTCCCGAGTCAGATACTATAGCAGCTACGATATTCGCAGAAGAACATCAAGTCAGAGTTCATAAACCTACATGTAGATACTTTAACCACGGCCTAATACTTCAGCTAGGCTGAATTTAATTACAATTGTATTTATGTACGGGCTAACTTGAGCCCAGTAGAATGATGCATACTAAGCAATGTTTTGGAATAATCTTTTTTTATTTGTCTTTGATACTTTTTGTTCTCATTTCCAGAATGTAGTTAGTAAGTCTAGAATCCTGATTATATCAGGGGGTTCAAAGGAGACAGCTACATGTAGCAGAAAGAGTTGATTTTATCGATCCCGGATGAGGCAAACTGCGTACTTTATATCTGTGAGTACCTGTCATACGGCTTAAGATCGAACATCGGTGCCAATTATAGGGTCATATCTTTTTCTCTTATAAGAGATTACATAAGAGGACTCATCTATATATGACTACGATAACTTCTCCCAATATTATGTTAATACCTGATTATGCCCGAAAACAATCATTTGGTCGTTAGTTTACATATATATGTTTAAATACGCCACTTAGTCGTGATCGACTAAACTAGACCCCAATTCTCAAATATACAGTTAATTTGGTAAATATTTCCATATGGGAAGTTTCCAAAGATTTGTGGGGACCAATAAAGAGATCAGTGGGTTGAGAACACCATATATGAGTATTGTAGGCACTAAATAAATGCAATTCAACAAGTATAGACTTGGCAGTCCGGTCTTGACACATTCTGATAAAGATACATATAGATGCAAAACTCCTTGTTAAGCTACATGTATATACATATATTTGCTACGCGAGACAGTGCCATGAGGAATGTCTATATATCAGGAAATCTAGAGTAGTAGAGTCATGGGCCGGGCCAGCTTCGAGGGTTTGACAGTCTTTCAATATCGGCTTAGAAGTTTGAATAACATTTATGCGGCATAGCTATATTCCTCATTGGTCCCATACTCAAAATCGGGCCTTGTAGGATGCAATTTCGATATTTACTGTGGCCCCATTATGTCGTGATGTTTTAGCAAGTCTGAGTTATTCTCGATGCGCAGCAATCCAGTGATTTGGTGCTAAATTTGATCTCGAACAAGTGCAAGGTGTATGACTGCAATTTTAATAATATTTATGTGATAAAGTAGGATATAGTTCAGTTGCCAGGAGCGTTGACCTATGGTTGGCTTTGTGGAGTCCGCATCACAATGTGTCACTCGTGGTCACAAGTACCTTCTACAGTGGGGGTAGTTATGCCAAGACCAAATAACAACATCCGTAGCATAATAGGCTCAAAATATTGAGGGTGTTTATCATAAGTATTTTGACGTGCGATGAATCCCTATAGAGCAAGGTGTGTCACGGTGCCACCCTCTCTATATATAGCTGATTAACAGTACGAGCATCATTTCCCGATTGAATCCTCCATGAATCTAGCTAGTATTCCACTTGTACTCTGACTTCAAGTAGTCCATTTAACCTGCTCCTTCCAGTAATCAATTTGTTGCGCCAGATCTCCCTTAATCTCTAACTAAGCCCGCATATATGATATGTCCTCTCATGCCTTACGGTACCCACCTACCGTCTTCAGAACATTGGGATTTTTCCAATGCTAAATCTTCTTCTCTCCTATCAGCTATCAACTTGACATTAATCCAGAACCATTTCTTCGGTAGTGTTGGGGGACAATGACAGGTGGAAGAAGCTAACCATTGAATCGAGTATGTGAATTCAGAATGTACTCGCAATTTCACAGCGTTTCCGGACGCAACTGCTATTGCATACACAGAAAAAACCCGCCAAGGCTATCTTTTGTATGGCATGCAATAAAAAACTACGAGTAGCTGCTCCCCTTAAGTGCTACTTTATAGGCGTCGCATAAGGTTGTCGTGGTGATCCTTAGATAACTTTATCGTTGAACTGGCCAATATTCCTGTATTTCGAAAAGAGTGCATCTAACATCCCACATATTTCCCCGCAAGCTGAAACGCCAGGTGTTTTGCCTGTGATAGCTTTCTGGATGCACGGTCATGAATTGATCAAATGCCATTCGTGCCACGTGGTAGCCGATAGCACTTATCACAAGTTTATCGAAGCTGATGACAGCCTAGGTATGAACGTGCGTCGTTTCTTTGAGCTCTTGAACCGTTTTCTAAGCGAAGCATGATCCTCCGGCGGTCATTGTTCCGAGAACCTGCAGCCGTGGCAGTTTCGTACGTTACCTTCCTCACCTGCGATAAAGAAGACCCGCAAAGATAACAAAAATCGGATTGTAAATTCTCCCCCGGATCCGTCTTGAAGTTTTCTCCCACCGGGTAGGCATGAGCTTCTATGTATCTCAATGCGTATTTGATGGAGTGACGTTCATATGATCGACAGTCAAAACATGGCAGAATCACATGCATGATTGACATGCGGCAGATTACTTAAGTAAGGCCTTTCTGCCAGGTCACCAATTCACTTGGCACTTTCACATGCTGTGCCTGTGTGCCAGTTACGTCACAACGTCCAGCTCCTACAATTACCCCCTCCTCCCTCGACATCTTTGCGATTCTCCAGTAACATCCTTCGCAGAGAATAACTACGGTACTGTAGCATAGCAGATAATAAGACATTCAAATTCAATGGCACCTCATGCAGAGCCCTCACCACCTCCCTCTCCTACAGCGGACGGCCCAAAACGTTCCAGCTCTGACAACCGTGCTAGCTCTGATTCCAACTCTGAGTCCAAACCCGATTCTCAATTCTTCTCACACCTCTCCACCTTTCCTCTCCTTGCAGACTCTCAAAATTTTCTTCAATCACACTCGCCCCGCATATTCACAACCTTTCTAAACAAAGCCGACTCCCTCACAAAAACGTACATACCTCCCTCCGTTCTTCACCATGCCGACAGCCTTGGAAACACAGCCTTGACCAAAATCGAACATACTTTCCCAATTGTCAAGGCCCCAACCTCCCAGTTTACCTCAAGGCCAAAGCAAATATATGATAGGGTTATCGCTCGACCAGTAACATCCGTGCAAACAGCTATGGACACCTATAAAGCTGCGGGGAGAGAACGTATGGATATTATTAAAAACAATGTTTACGGTGCATATAAGAATTATGCCGAACCTACAATCGGGGTGTATACAGACAATTATCTACGAAAGATCAATGATCGCCTCGAGAAAGCCATGGACACAAAGATGCCAAAATCTTACAAGGAGGCCGTTGTTGAGGGGAGTGACGAGGAGGGAGAAGCTCAGCATAAAAAGGATGAGATTGAGATTTATCGAAGCATGAGAATTGCTAGGAATGCGATGGAAAGAGGAAAGGCCAGGTTCTATGTACCGTTGCAGAAGATGGTCCAGAAAACCGCGGATGACGTGAAAGAGGGAGGCACCGGGATCAAGGCAGATATACGGAGCTCGCCTTCAAAGATGAAGGAAGGAGCAGCGCATCTCTGGAACGTTATGGGCGAGGAGTTTTCAAAGCAGAAGACGGATGAGGAGGGGAGTGTTGGGGTGAAAGGAATGATGAAAGTTGGGTACAGAGTTGGCGAAAGGTGTGCAGGTGAGATGGCTGGTGTTGGGCTGGCTATCACTGCAAAAACTATGGGGGTTGTTTGGGGAGTGTTGGCGGCAGGAAGGGAAAAGGTCAAGATGACTTAATCCCATTTGTTTTAGTTTTTTCCATAGATCTAGCTGTTTGTTTATTTTTCAATAATATTTTCTTTTAGGCTTTAAGGTAATTACAAAATATAAAAACGGCACTTCCTTTCTCTGTTCTTTTGGAGTAGTGAAATTTATCCAGACTGCGTCATACGCCCTGCATGATAGTTGTCTTTTTAGTTGACCCAGCCCATGGTCGTTTCTTCGTCTGGTGCCAGTTCTCACGGCCTCATATCTTGCACACTTTTCGGATTCGCGGAGAAGTGGTGGTGGGGGTTGGAGGTAGATGGCTGCATGTAGCTAACATGGAGTTTTCCATACCTTACAATAAAGGAGGTAATTCTTGTGTGAGTAATAAGGGTGATGTACTAATCAACCTATAAAATGTCATGCAGTTAACTCTAGATGTAATGTTTTAATAAACACTAACTACTTGATTATCGTATCACAAAATACTGAGTAGACTATAGCTACATGTACTCGCAGTTGATGTTCGAGCCCGCTACCGTGGTTTCCGACCTTTTCAGAGTCCATGAAATGAGTAAGTTATTCGGGCACGAGTGGGGGAGTGATATACAATACAGCCGTGTTAACAAGTCTTGTCAGTGGTGACAACGCGATAGCGGCACATTGAACACAGTGTGTGTGTGTGTGTGTGTGTGAAGTCATTTGAATTGTTTCTAGGTACAATCATCGCATGCAGTAAAAACTATGGCGTAAAGACAGGCACATTGAACACAGCTCTCCTCAACAACTATGAGTCTAAAGGGCTTGAAATCAAGAGGATAGAATATTTA